GGGCATCTTAACCTGCCCAATCTCCGTTGCATAGAAATCCTTCACATCCTCCAACCCCTTCAGGAACCTAGGACACTCCCACCCCGCATCACCATACTGCTCGGTCCAAACGGCCTTCTGCTCGGCCACTGATTGCTTATACGTACCCCTCATGCGACTCGCCCGCTCCTCACGGTTGTTCAAGAGAAAGAGGTAGACTTGTGTGACGGGACGGTCGCCCGTGCGCGTCATCACCATGCGGTTCTGCGGACCGAAGTAGATACGCGCGAGGCTGTTTTCTGAGGGCAGGCGCGGGACGTTGTAGTATGCGGCGTGTATATTGAGGGAGTGGAAGGAAGCGTCACTGGTTTCTTGACCGAAGGCGAGGCGCCGAGTCCGTGAGGATTGGCCGTCTGCAGCAATGATGAGGTCGAAGGAGTATGTTTCGCCGGTGGAGAAGGTCACTGTTGTTGTCTTTGTCGATGGATTTGGTGAGAGTGCAGTGATGGTCGTATCGAAGACATACTTCAAACTCCCACCACACCCCTGCTTATCCAGCACCTCCCTCTCCCTCAAACCAACCTCATAAACCAACCTCACAAAATCCCCCCTCATAAACTCAAACTCGTTCGTCAGCGTCCTTCCCGGGTTCTCCCCTGCAGCCGTCACACCAAACTGCATCAAGCTCTTGCCGTTTCCATCAATGAATTCCAGGCCGCTTTCATGGACACAATACGGCCGGAGTGTTTCGAGGAGACCCAGTTTGGTCATGATGGGGATGCCGTGCGCTTTTAGGTCGATTTGCTGGCCGCCTGTGCGGAGGGAGGGGTAGCGTTCGACGATTGTGATGGTGTGGGTGGGGTTGCTGCGTTGGAGGATGAGGGCGAGGAGGGGACCGCAGACGCCGGCGCCGGTTATGAGGATGTTTAGGGGGTGGGGTTGTGAGGGAGGCATTACTGCGGTGGTATGAACAGAGGGTTGCTTTGATGAATTGCTAGTATTTGGACGCACGCAGAATGCAGTAGGACTAAAGAATGGGGTTCGTAGGTAGAGCAGAGTAGGCAATATGCTTGAAAGACGGCGATACAAACTGAACGATAACCGGATCTATCCTTCCAGGCATCTTCATTCTTATATTATCGTTGCTACAAAAGGCCGACGCAGTACGATGCTCCTCCGAACGGCAATCTCGCACATTGGGGCGGAGACCGTGTTCTCCGAGCTCTTCTCCGATCGCTGTTAACGCGGACATAGTAGGCGTTAACCTTGAGGGATCCAATAGCGGAGGCACGTAGACTGCTGCCTTGGCATCCTTGCTGACTCTGCTGCAGTCGGCGTCAGCGCGCATGAGTGTCTGTACGCCGTATGTCGCTCAACGAAGAAGGATATGTGCCGATTAGAGACTGTAGCATTGATGATGTACTACGGTTTAGATTGTCATACTGTCGAACGTCACTGGCGTTGTTGAACAGGGTTAGTTGATAGTTGACAGGATGAACGTCGTGATGATGCAGACTTCAGGGTCTGCGGGCGGATCACCTGTCGGCGCCAAGCAAAAGTGAAGCTCGTCGCTTCGCATCACCAACACCGACCACCAATCCACCCGCCTTCTGCGCTACATCGACACACAGGTCACCAAACCCTGTACATACCAACTTACAGCCGGTTATCGCCGACGCCAGACTCTCGAAAAGTCAACAAGCCGCACACGGTCCACGAAACCTCGCAATGGCCATCCTAGGGACGGCCCTCAACGGCATCGGCGCGCTCTTCCTCACACATGCGTACGTGTATAGGTAGCTCATATCTCCATCCTCTCAAACAGAGAGTCACATGAGCACAACCACCCAATCCCCACCACCAACTAACCCCCACCAGCGTCTACTCGACCCACGAACACACCGCAACCTTCGCATCCACGCCCCTCCCCCTCGACATCTCGCTCGAACTCCTCACCTCCATTCTCATCCTCTCCCTCGGCATCGTCATATCGTTTGCGCCGCTGAAGCCAATACAATACGCACAATGGGCGGGCCAAATCTCGCGGGAAGGACGACACGGCGAGGGCTACTACACAAAAGAGGGCGAGGAGGTGTTGAGTGAGGGCGATCCGTATGCGTTTTTAGGTCTGGATGGCGGGATTGGCGGGAAGGGGGAGGGGAGGAAGGGGTTCTGGGATGTTAAGGGGAAGAGGAAGGAGTATGAGGAGTGGGTTAGGCAGGGTGGGAAATAGTAGATGGTTGAGGACAGCGGGGGAGATTTGGATCGAAGAAGTCCAGCGGATGAGCGTGATGGACTGACAACGCGCACCGGTGGTGTGCTTGGGCATGCGTATTTTGTCACGAAGCGTCTCATACCCGGTACGAAAGATGATTGTATGTCGACCACCGTTATGCCTATCGTACATCGCACGAATGCCCGATTTCGATGCCCCATACCCTGTGTCCCGACCGTCCAAAAACCCAGACGCCATGCTTAAACGAGCAAAACCAGCAATCCCAATCAATCTGTTCCCATAACTCTTTTCCTCTCCAATCCTTCCCTCACGCCTCGCTCGTCATCTTCTCAACCTGATTTCCTCCACACCCATTCACCCTACAAGCCCAGCACTCCTTTCCCTCCATCTCCTCGCCAATAGCCGCAACACCCGCACTCTTCCTCCTCGGCCCCTCCACATCCCCATTAACATCAACACCACTAACCCACCAGATCCCCGCCGCAATAACCTTCGCCACAACCTCCACCTCCGCCTCATCCCTCGGCGCATAAACCAGCATAAACTCCCTCGGAACAAACTTCCTACACCAACCACCCCTCGCAAGCGGATGTCTCTCACCCCATCCCATTTCAATCAACAGATTCGCATCCGCAGGATGCAACGTCATATGCATCGACCCATCACTCGGATGCGCATGACAAATCTCGCCTCCACACGTCCTCGTAATCGGCACACTAGTAAACAACCCCGAACTATGCTTCTCAAAGCAACTCGTACGTTCCAACAACCTATTCCCCGGATCCGCCGCAAGGCCCTTTATCTTGGCTACCAAACACGCATAAACCGCCTGCCCACTCTTCTGCGTCTGCTGTCTCTGCGGCGCAATACCGCGGATGAGCGGCTTGGTGCCTTTGCGCGTGGGTAGCGAGGAGGCGGTGAAGTAGCCTTTTTGGGGGCGGAAGTGTGGGGGGATGGCGATGGGGCGGAGGGGGTCGCGTAGGCAGATTAGAGAGAGGAGTTTGATTTTTAAGTAGCCGAGGGGTGTTGCTGGGGTGCCGCCGGGGCCGAGGGAGAGGAAGGCGCGGTAGTCTTTGTGGATGTAGAGGGCTGTTAGGGTGGGGAGGAGGAGGGCGAGGGTCGCGATGAGCATGTGGAGGTGGGTTTCTGTAAACATGCTTGGATGGGGTGGTGGTATGGTTGGTTCGTAGGATGGGTGTAGGGTTGTGGTGGTGAGGTTGTGTGGGTCGACCATGTTGGGTGGACGGGTGATGTTGTTTGTTGGATGGTCGTCCTGGAGGTAATTGAAGACGTGGAAATTGAACAAAGAAAGCAGGAAGACGTTTGCTGAGAGTCCTCTTATGCCTTCCTTCTCAACAAGACAAGAGAATTACAGGAACCCGGGAAAGCACAATAGCTCCGTGGCCCCAGTAAAGAAAGGAAGATCAGCCCCACACGTGCACTGCAGGAAGGAAGGTCGGTGAGTCCCACGCGAGACTCAGGGTCCGCGGGACCTAAGAGGGATGACGTTGAATTGATATAACAAACAAAGCTACCACACAGATACCAAACGAAAGCCTCAATACTGTATCAACGTAAAAGCAGAAGCCTAAAAGCCTCAAATACCAGCTCACTAACACAACCACGAGCACACACACCCCTTCTTATAATCTCAAAAAGCCACGCCAGCAAACCAACGCAGCAACCATAGCGACCGACCGACCGACCGACGTCAACCCCGTGGTCCCCCAAAACATAATCCACGTGCCTAGCCCCGCATCCGGTTAGCACGGCCCTCACCTGCATGTTTGTGGGGTTAGCGGCCGGCCGCGCTAGCAAGCCCATTGGCCCACATCACGGTGCCTGTGACGTTTGACCTAAATCAACAATGCTGGCCGTTCGCTTCCCATTCTCTCTTTTTATCCACTCGCTGCAATTACCTTCGTCATTCTGTCGTGTGTGCACTTGATAGAAAGGGTCCGGGCGCTTGAAGGTTTGTATCGCCGATGTGCGGGAGCAAGGGTGAGGGAATTGGAGGTTGTACGAAGGGAGCGGGCATTATGCTGGTGAGGGGGATGCTGAGATCAGCTGTGCTCACGTGGTCTTGTGCACGGTTATGCTTTCTAGAAAGAGGGGTTTTTGGGAGCTGACTTCTCGTGTTCAGCCTCTTTCTTACGTATGCCCGCTGTCGTGAGGTATGTGCTCGTTCGCTCGTCGCGGCATGAATTGGCGAGGTACGCTGGCACGCTTTGACCATCAGCTGGGTGTTCTGATCACCCAACGGACGAACCGGAAGCGTGCCAGATGGTCATCAGGCGCGAGACTAGCGTAGTGGTGTCAATACCCGCTAGTTCACGATAGCTGGTGTCGGCGTTGTTCGATGGACTCCCTGCAGCGTGCAGCATGCAGTGTGATCGGAGGAGCGGTGATGCGTGGCGCGCTGTGAGCTCTTTGCATTATCGCCGAGCTCGGAACTTGGGTTCGAGAACATGGCTGTCAGTACACGGTCGTTCGATTTTAGATTGAGGTAACAGGCTTGTTATGGCTATGCGTACTTGCAGCTATATGTTCCACAGTTGAATAAATATCTTGGTCAACTCTCGGTTGCATCGACACTCATAGCGCATCGGTACAAGCGGTACAAGAGCGAGGCGAGAGAAGAGAAGAGTATTATTAACTTGAGACTTTTGAAATGGTACAGCTGCTTGCTGCTCACGAAGACGGGTAGTTGATGGGCACGTGCCGTACAGCGACGAAGACTCCACAGAATCCAGCGCGTCCCAGCGCATCGCGCCGCAATCGTGGATCAGTCTTGCCAGGCGATTCGCACCTTGAGGAGCTTGTATTTGCCGGGGAATCCAAGTTCAGTCAGATCATCACCCACGTGTTCCTGCCGTCCGGGCCGCGAACGACTATTCCATGACAGCTGCTCAGCTCGTGCTTTTCCAGTAATATTGACAAACACCGCTGATTCCATGTTGGCCTCTCTCTGTTTCTCGTCTGGCATGAAGATCTCAAGCTCGGCGGAGACCACTCTTTCGGCTTGTCGCACGTCCATGTTCCTCAGGACCGACACTGCAGATCTTATCTCATCCATCATGTCAGACGTGAGAAACAAAGTTCTTAAGCCGGCTGGCCAAAAATTCATTTTGAATGAAGGAAACCCTTTCTGAACTTGCACCAATTGAAGAAGGTCGACTTTCCGTTCTTCACCAATTCCGAATTTGTCGAGGCGTATGAGGATGAAACGGTGAATCGTTCGTAGACTTTCGTATGGACGCTTGATGAAGAAGACGTGCAGGTAATTGTTCAGTTGTCGGAAAGGGACGACGGGACTGTATAGCCGCAGCCTGATGGACGGAGACAGGTACATAGGCGCGAACTCGTCGTGGACTTGCTCATGAGAATTGACAAGGTTTATGGCGTCAGCACATTTTGGTGTTAGATGGAGGAATTCGGTGTAGATGGCGTTGCGTAGCTCTATATTCAGGACCTGAAATCAGCTTTGGGCAGGTAAATCGTGGGATTTGGAGACCTCGTACCTCCGGGTAGGTCAAGGAAATTCGCTCTGTGGCGGTAGTGTGCGCTGCTTCGAATTTCAGCATTCATCGACTGGCACTGCAGTGTCACACGGCTCTTTTGACATACCTGAGTGCCATGCTGTTGTCGCAACGAGAAATAGAGTGCGTCTTTGACTCAGACTGAGGCGAGATCTTGACTCAGGCAATACTACCTAGGTAACGAGGCGAAAGCGCATACAGTCTTCCAAAGAGGCTTGGCTTTGCTGTTCGGCGTTTTGATGCCATCGAAGAGGTGTCGTAAACAAGACAGACTCGCACCTGAGTCCAAGATAGGGCCTCCCGCCAAGACCACGCTAAACCCAAGGAATCGACGACCGGGCCGGCGTTAAGCTGTGGGCTGATTTCTCACATCCTCAAGCTCATCACATGGATCTGAACAGTCATTACTCATACATTGCTTCCAGATGTTCCTTGCACTTTTCTTCCCGTACCCCCCACCACTATCGTGAGATCCTATTCATCTTCCTCACTCTCGGAGACATGATATTCGCTTTCTGGTTCGTGCGCTACATGAAATCGCACTTTGACGCCCCCGCATTCAATACCAAATCCAAACTTTTCGAAGTCTTGTTCCGTACAGTCCGCCATCAGAGCGATGTCAAGATAGGCTACTAGACCGGCACTGAACTTCTCATCTAAAGGTGGCCTGACAGATAAGGACAGATCAACAGAAGCCACCTTCGCGTACAACTCATCCTCCAATTTTCTGAGTATTGACAGGGGCGCGTCGATGTTTATATCGTCAACACTGAAAGTGACTCGAGCAGAATGACGCGGAATCGCTATCTCTTCTTCCTCAGAGTCTGCTTCCTCCAATTCTGATTCCTCAGGTTGTGCTTCGTCAGATTGTCCCTCCTCTGGCTGCGCCTCCTCGGGCTCGTCTTCGTCCTCGTCTTCTTCTTCGGTTCCTTCTTCTTCGTCAGGTGCGTCGGAGCGGTCGCCGCGGCCGGAGTAAGCAGGACGGTTGGAGTGGTTAGAGTGACTACAGCGGTTGAAAGGGTTCAGGTCCCACTCAATGTCGAGTAAAGGATATCCACGCATGAATGCGACAGTTTCAAAGAGGTCGAGGTCCCAGAAGCTCCTGTGCCAACAGAGATCGTTCCAGTCGAGCTGTACAAGGAAGCTGCAAGTGAAGTCCTTTGGTCTCTGGCTAGCGATAGGCTGGAAGGTGTCGCGCAGGAAGGGTATGAGGCAGTCAAGAGGTACTATAGCGTTGCCCTGACTCAGGTATAGTGACCCGAATTCGGAGCGGATCTGCCGATTGACTTGGAGGAACTGGATGCTCTCGTCAAGAGATGGGTCGAGGTCGATGAAGTACTTGTAGACGGCGTTGCGCAGTTCTATAATGTGACGGGTTAGTTGGTTGTATTTGGGTAAACCAGTTCATGGACCACATACCACCAGACAACCTGTCAAGGAACGGCGTTCCGCCACTATGGTCCCTGCCATCATCATCGTTAGTTTGTTATTTCATAAAGCAGAATGTTTGACTGCAGCATACTGGTTTGTCATCATGGTGCAGTGCAGTGGTAGCTTGTATTCTCCACCTGAGCGTAGTGGAAGATAGCTTCGTAGGTAGACTAGAAAGCTTTAGGAGCAAACAAGATTGTTGTGGACGACAGGTCGTTTTGTCTCAGCGTCCGCCAAGATCTGCCGTGCAACGTAGACCGCGCTAGACACAAACGGTCAGGCAGACAGCTTCTTGGGCTCATAATGCAGCCTGAATTCTCGCATCTTCAGGTAAATGACATGTCATGTTATTACTCCTAAAAAATCTTCGATCTCTGAATTCTCTCAATACATCATTCTTTTGAACTGCCGTCCTGCCGCTGTCCTACACATCCTCCCTACTCTCCGAGATATCGTGTGCGCCTCGGGGCACGGCTGCTATCTTAAGCACAAAATTATACTTCGGCGTTCATACTTAATTCCCCCAATCTTGAGCTGGATATCATCGGTATCTTGTTCCGTACAACCACGTTCCAGAAAGGTGTAAATGTCTCCGCCCAATGGCCCATCATGAATAAGAAGCCAGATGGAAGACAACTTCGCAAACTCGTGATCGTCCATATCCTTCAGAATGGACACATATTCAGCTAAACCTAAGTCACTGTGGGTCTCGGAGTGGCCAGGCGGGATCAAGTTCCATTTGATGCTGAGCAGAGGATACTGTCGCATGATCAAGATGACGTCCACCAGGTCGATTTGCCAATTTTTGTAATCTATTTGCCTGCCACGGAGCTCCACGCGAATCTTGCAAGCAACGTCGTCAAGCATCAAGGTTGTAGAAGGGATCTGGATGAAGGCGCGTAGGAAGCTTGCGATGCCGTCGAGGTAAACTTTGGCATTGCCCTGACTGAAGTACGATGATCTGAACTCGGCGCGGATTTGCCGGTTGACCCACAGTAGGTTGATGGCGTTGGTGTCACACGCGCATGTGTTGATATCGATGAAGTGCTCGTAGATCACGTTGCGTAGCTCTGTCTGAAGTGTCAGCTTGCGCCATTTAAACAAGCAGGATGATGACACTTACCTCCAGGCAAGTCAAGGAGCGACTTCGCGCCGCGGCGACGTTGTCTGTCGCTTCGTGAATCAGTGTGGGCTCATGCAGAGTGATAGTATGGCACGACTTACTTGGTTGTCATTGCGACAGTATGAGATAGTCGCTGATTGATGAGTAAGTGTTGCCGAGGGATCTTTGGTGGGTGTCGTACGCAAAGTGAGTAACTTGACAAAGACGGCAGGGCGTAGATCTGCGCCTCTGCCAAGACTGCGCTAAGAAGATCAAGTGAGAGAAAAGAGGTGGGTTCTCGAAGGGATTGCGCACCCGAGTGAAGACTGCTGATTGGTTGTGTATTTATCAGGTGACACAATATGTACGTTGGTGGTCATTAGAGTTGAAAAGACGGTCGAAGTCACTGCGTCAATTCCAGGCTAAGCTGGCGTCCGCGCTATCGCATTTGCACGCAAGAACAGCACTATAAAATCAAGGAATCTACACTTCGCAGATTAGACTCATCTTCTGTTTCGAACTCCCAGCATCTTAGTATAGGCCCTCTCTCATCTCATAAATATCCCAATTGCAGACGCAAGATCTGGTTCTCGTGATCATCTTCGCTGCTCTATGAGTCTTTCTCCTCACTCTTTGAACACTGTAGTTCATCGTATGACAATCCGCGTACCGCACCCCAAGAATTGCCTTCCCAGTAGACTTCCACATCGATGCCTCCACATTCTTGACGCAATCTCGAGGCCTCAAGGCTCTTGACGTCTTGCTCAGTAGCACCCCTCTTCAACATGAGAGACAGGCAAGCCTCTACTTCGATCTCTCCCAACAGGATCGTCTTGTACCACTCAAGGTCGTACAGGCAGAGGTGTGCAGATTCCAGCAGTTCGAATTGGTTGAGACTCATTTCTTTCAGAGCAGCCACGGTGTACGCAACCTCTATGTCCTGGAACGCCGCCTCCTTGCAGTTGTCAACCAACTTCCATACAACGTTAATGAGCGGGTAATGACGCATGATCGAGACAACTTTGAGCAGATCGAGTGACCAACCAGGTGTCGCACCTTCGTCGTCGGTTTGAGGTTCAGCAAGTCCCACCGCGAACTTGTAGGGGACGTCTTTAGGAGCCGAGTCGGGATATGCGACGAAGAACGAGTGGAGAAACTCATGGACATGGTCAAATGAAACCACGACTCCACCTCCGAATATCTGTTGTAGGTAAAGCGTTAGGAACTCGGCGTGGATCTGCTGATTGGTACATGCGACACCAGCAGCATCGCCGGTCAATGGTCTCAGGTCGATGAAGTGCTCGTAAATCTTGTTACGCAGTTCTGTAATATCGTATATTAGTTTTCCGCAAAAACGGAGTGTACAGGAGTTTCACCTCCAGGTAAGTCAAGGAACGTCTTTCTACGGCGTGGGCTTCCGGCGCTGTGTGTGTCAGTTATGGATCTGGCTCACCAAGAAAGCTTCTGGGCACGACTTACTTGGTTGTCATCGTGGAGTTGCGCAATCGAAGCACGCTACTTGGGCAAGAGTTGAGAGAATGAGCAATTGGGCAGAGTGTGAAGAGAATTGAAAGTTTATTGCAAGTGAAGGAGCGTTTGTTTGTGCCTGCGCCAAGTCCACGCTAAAATTGCAGGTGGGTAAGGAGAGTGCAAGAGACGGATACAGCTAGAAGATGGAACAAAGCGATTCTGTCATTCATAGAATCTCGAGATTGGCTGAGTTCTTACAATGCGCCTTCTTCTTCAGAAGCGCCATATCTTTGTACTGTCCTTCCGTCATAGCCAGAGTGCCATAGACCAAAAGCTCCGTGCCGCTGTGCGCGTCATCTTGCTGGAAAAACCCCGAAGACTCATATCCAAGCGCGCTACACATTAACACAGACACTAGTCATCGCTCTCCACATCATCTTCGTCCCAGTCTGCTCCATCTTCATCACCGGCCCAAAGATCTTCATAGTTCTCCGCATCCTTCTTCTCGATCTCTGCCTCCTCGTCATCACTATCGGACTCATCTTCCCAAATGATCTTGACCTTGGTATTTCCATACTCTGCGTAGAACCCCAGTTCGTCGATCTGATCTTCCGTGACCTCACTCTTGACAATGATGAGCAGGCGAGCGCCCATGCGAGGCATCAGGACCGACAGGAAGTTATGCGGCAGCTTGTACAGCTTGAGCGTGACGAAAGCCATTCGCGCAAGTCTTGGGGCATCCAGGTTCTTGAGGGTATCAACGATCTCGGCGATGTCTTGGTTCCATTCAATGTCGAGTAACGGGTATCGGTTCATACAGACCACGACATTGAGCAGATCGACAGACCAGTCCTGGTACTCGAACAGATCGATGCTGACTCGGAAGCCGCAAGGGACGTTCTGCAGGGCCGACTCGGGGTAGTGTAGGAAGAACACATCCAAGAAGTGGTCGATGCAGTTGAGTGGAACCTTGACGTTGCCCGAGCGAAGGTAGAGCGTGCCGAACTCAGAATGGATCTGTTGGTCAACGAGAACAAGGTTGGCGACGTCTTCAGTCGTAGGCGTGAGATCGATGAAACGCTCGTAGATAGCATTGCGCAGCTCTGTACTCGCAAGTTAGATTGTGGCATTCGGAAGACTTGATCAGGATTGATGTTACCTCCAGATAAGTCCAAGAAGGACGTTCCGCCGCGAATGTCTCTGCTGCTTCAACAGTTAGTTCGTGAGGATTGAGAATGCTGATCAAACTCAACTTACTTGACTGCCATGTTCAATCTCCAAGTAATAGTGAGCGAATTGGATCTCTTGATAGGAAGGGTAAAGAGGTAAAGTTGCTGTGGACAACGATGCGTTTTTCAAGGTCTCGCCAAGATCGCGCTGGAAAAATCCAGGTGAGCGAGAAAAGGTGAGAGTGAGGACGAGCGTCACTGTCCCCTTCCCAGTTTGGATGCGTATTGTCTCTGGGTTGCACGGACCCCGAAGTGATCTTTTACAAGAGGAAATATACAAGACGCGACGCACCTAGACTAGAGAGCAGACTGGAAGACTTGTACGGTAAAAGTTCATTCTACATACTGAATTGAATCGTTAAGTAGAGATTGAGTTTTCAAATGCTCTTTCAAGATCTCAATACGCACCCTCCCTCTTCTCATACTCCATCCCCATGACAGTCCCCACCTTCTTCATCCCACTCCAAATCTCCGCATCAACCTCCAGCTCCAACCCCTCAACCTTCGTCGCTCCCCCATCAAGTCCCCAAAGCGAGACACCCAAGTAATTCGTTCCGTTGTAGTTCAGAATACCTTCTGTAACAGGGAACTTAACCTGCGGCCCCACATTGCTAACGTATTTACCATACTGCCATCCATTAACGTAAAGCTGGACGCGGTACGCGGGAACGCTCGAGCCGCCACTGCTGCTGTTACCAGAAGAAGTGCCGTTGGTGAAGGTGAAGCTAAGCGGGATGTCGTAGCCAGACGGCATGTTGAGATCGAATTCCGTGGCGAAGAAACCGATTCCAGGAGCGGAGATACCGTCGGCGACGGGGCCGGCGGAAGCAGTCCATTTAGCGTCAGTGGCGGAGAGCGCACCGGGGAGGTGCAGACCCTGGCGCTCGACGAAGAGACCGCCTTCGTTGAGGGGACCGCGCGAGATGTCGCGGTAATCTTCTCCACCCAGGTTACCGGTGAGCTTCCAGCTGATGTCGGAGGCGTCGTGGCCGGATAGCTTGTAGTCTAGGATACCGCGCGGGTTCTTCATTGTCTCGGTGCCGATGGTCCAGTTTTCGTCGAGACCCTGGTTGTCGACTACGACCGTGATGGTGTACTTCTTTCCCTTGGTCAGGTTCGGCATGGTGAAGGTAGCGCTTCCATTCAGGGCCGCGTCGTATCCGCGCCATGAACCCAGGAATTGGTCACCGATCCAGGCGGATGAGCCGAATGCTGAGCCACCTTGGGTGGTAAGGTTGAAGGTTGTCTCGTTTCCGGATGCAGTGAATGTACCGCGGAAGAGGAGTGTACCGGTGTGGTAGCCGTAGTCGGAGCTGTAGAGCGATACGGGGGTATCAAGGGGACGCAGGGAGTTGTACGTCTTCTTCAGATCGGCCGCAGTCCACTCGCTGTCATCGTAGCCGGGTTGAATCTCAGGAAGCGAGTCGACGTACTTCCACTCGAGTTCACTGAGCTTAGGTAGGCTAACATCTGGCTTGGCGAATTCGATGTCGGCGCACAGAGTTCCTTGCTCGGAGGTGGTGAAGTCGATATCCTGGCCGTTGAACGTCATCTTGGACACATCAAATGATGCACCACCAAGAACCTCAACAGTGGTTGTCGCATTGAGATCTCCAGTGAGGGCGAGTGTGTCGCCAGTGACCTTGGCGGTGCGCATCAGGTAGCCGGCCTTGAGGATGACAGGGTTGGACGAGTCGTGGGGTGCCTGGTCGACGGCCCAGTAGTTGAAGGCTTCGACGCGGTCGACCATGTAGACGTAGATGGGGCTGTCAGCTCCAACCTTTGCCACCTTTCTGCCTCCATCAGCCTTGAAGTTCAAGACTGTGACTCCGCTAGTAGTCATGCTCTTGACATCGCCTTCGATGACTTCCATTCCAGTAGCAGCAATGGCCAACTCGTGAGTCTCTCCAGGTCCACCGTATACAACCAAGACAGTCTTGTCATCATACTTGTGCCAAGTGAATACTTCGGCAGTAGAGTAGACAAGGGTGGTGCCGCCAATATCGTAGTCGCTGACGTGGATCTTGGAATCGCGGCCGTTCAGCGTCAGCGAAGTGCCGTTCATTTGGGGTACAGTAATGTTGCCCAATGCCGACGTTGCAACGTTGAGCTTATAGGTCGTGGAATCTAGCGAGTTGTACTTGGAATGCCTGACAAAGTAGAATGTCGTCTTCTCGTTGGTGGCGGGAGTGACGCTAAGGTCACTGCTGGTAGTCCACTTGGAAGTCGAAGCATTGCCGCGTGCAGCAGTAAGGTACGCAGGGCTGACCTTGAAGAAGTTTGCCTGGAGCTTTAGCTCGGAGTACTTCGCGCGGTCGACTTGACGGTCTTCCTTGATCGGTGCAGCGTAGTCGTAGCTGGTGTAGCCACCGGGATGACCGAGGTTACCCCAGTTGGTCCCACCGTAAGTCATGTACAGGTTGAGAATCGTAACGCCAAAGCTGTAGAGTTGCTTGTAGAAGACACGGTTGAACTCTGCGCCAACGAGAATGCCGCACTTGTCGAAACCGGGTCCACCCCAAGGGTCGAAACTGCCGGATTGGAACTCAACGATGGAGTAAGGCGTAGTGGGGCTCTGCTGCTCGTGGAGCTGATGCCAGTTTGTCGGAAGATTGCCATCTGGCCATGTAGTAGGGTTGGCACAGTCGAATCCAAGAGGATATCCATCGTGTCCGTAGATGTCAACAGCTGCAGGTTGACCGGGTGCGTTGTTGCCCTTAGCGGAGGCATCGTTGCTGATCAAAGGCACGATAATACCGGCGTCGCGAATCTGATCTTCGACGTATTGCATGTAGACCGGGTCCGGGAAAGGCTTGATAGCCGAAGTGGCCTGTGTGTACTCATTCTCGGGCTGAACGAGAATGATTGGTCCGCCGTTGGTGATTTGCGCAGGCGCAATTGTCGCCAACACATTCTTCATGTAGCTATCCTGTTGTTAGTAAGACATCACCCAGATTCATTGTAGAAACATACTTGTCAGTCGCCTCCAAGAAGTCAGGCGCACGCGTTCTCAACGTGCCATTGACTCTTTGGATCCATCCGGGGAAGCCTCCACCAGACACCTCGGCGTTGATGTAAGGACCTGGCCTAGCAATAAGATAGATACCAGCTTCCTGTGCAGCATCGAAGAAAGGCTTTAGATCAAAGACACCCTCTTCGCGGTAAACACCGGGCTTGCCCTCAAGCAGCGCCCAGTCCACGTAAAAGGAAACACCATTGTATCCAAGAGCCTTGATCTTCTGGAAGACATCGGAGTAGAGATCAGGCACCGGTAGCCTGTACGGGTGGACTTCGCCAGAGTACAAGAAGATGCGTTCGCCATGTACGAAGAGCGAGTCTTCATCCCATGTGACCTGTAATATCGGTCAGCCATCGTCGTTTCGAGATATTCTATCAACTCCGCAACTTACAATATCTTGCAAAGCCTCTCTCTTATACGGCTTAATCCACTGCTGAGGCGAATACCCCACAGCCCTCGCCGCAGTCTCAACCGCAAAACATCCCAGCGCAACCGCGCCTGCAAGCTTTGAAAAGCTCTTCATATTGACCAAAATACGAAACCAAAGGTCAATGTGCTTGTGGCCCGGTCAAAGTTCCGCGGGGAGGGCAAGCAATATAAAGCTTCCGGAACTTCAGACGGTATGCATGTAGCCGAACCGGGATCTTTCCTCGTTCCTGTCAGGTAATGACAGCATCGTTTCCACGCCGCTCGTGCCATTGCGATCCGAACGCACATACCTCTTTTCCCCAGCGACTTTCCCCAGTCTTGCCCCATGTTGAGCGTGCTAACACCGCGTGTTGAACCGGGTGAGTAGCCGTAGCGATACTAGCATGGTCTAGGATGCGGCGAAGCGACCAAAACGCAAGTACCCATTCCACCAATATCGCAGCTTGGATGCTTGTTAGTGGAGTCGATGCCCGCATCTCGGTTGAGGCAGGCGGGGAAACATGTCCGATGTGCGCCATGGCCGTTGCCCAGGCGGTGCAGATGGGGGACGATCAGTGGGGTTAGCGTGAGGGTTAATGCTTGGTCGTATAGTTGTGGATGCTTGCGGAAGCTTGGGTTGAGGCCTTTCCGCCCTGGATGGGGAAAGGCATCCGCGCTGTGATGACGACGGGCATCGGCGAATTTGTTCGGAGGTCGGTTCTTCAGGATAATTGCGGATGTAATGACTGGGGTGACATGCGGTGGCATGGGTGATGAGTGATGGGTCGGAACCTCGTGGTGATGGAATGTGGGGGAGAGTTACCGAGGTACATCGATTTGGTACTGACGTAACAAGGCCTTGAACATCGCGAAAAGCAAGCGAGCAAAACAGCGCGCAGCAGTACTCTAAAACACGGAAGGCTCCTTACGCTTCTGATAAACATGGCTACTAAGGGGCGCTGATATGACTTCCACCTCCACCCCTTCGCCTCCCCTCCGCCTCCCCCATCTACCCAGCTGACGTAACGAGCGCCTTGACCATCGCGAAAAGCAAATGAGCGAGTCCAGCGCGCGGCAGTACGCTGTCCGTATCGCAGAAAGCTCATTGAACTTCCGATAGGGAAGGGCTTCCAGTATGCGACTCAATGAGTGCAAGTATAATGTTACTCATCTCTAGTTCGCCGTCTGCATGAAACATCTCATTTCGCCTCCGAAAAAATTCCTTTCAAAGTTCGTGAAGAAGCGAAGAGGTGTAGTGTGTTTGGATTTTTTCGTAATCTTAATGCAGTGGTCTGTATGTACCACGATGCATACTAGTACAAGGCAAGAGGAAAGTGTAGCGACGTGGCTTCGTTCACAGTCGATAGATTTTCCTGCGCGCAAGTATCATAGCTACCTCATACGTCAGGAACAAGGGCATAACATGTATATTCAGAAGAACAACTAACTTTCTGCAAGATGATACGAAAGACATCTAGGTCAAAGATACCGCCAATCCATTGCCACAAGTCCACGAACATGCTATACGGTAACGTGCATCTACATGTGCATCTACATGTGCATAAAGACCGATCGATCCGCCCACGACTCTCCCGTCGCATGCCAACCCAAAATCATCGCATAACAAGCAACCCGCCTATGAAGAAACAAACTCCGCTACATAACGTCCTGTCGCCCTTAGGAATCTAAATGGCACACCAATGCAGCCAGTCAAAGCAACCATAGCAACATGCGCCGAAGAAAGAGGTTAAAGAATGTGAAGAACATATTCGCGATAAACCCAGCGACAAACCAAACAGCCACTACTGTGGCGGATACGAATACCCAGACTGATAATACCCCGAGTTATCCGGAATAGTCGGAAAGCCATACTGGCCCCAATTATTGAAGTCTTGAGCACTATCACCAATCATGACATCGCCCGCCCAGCCATTGGGGAAAGTAGCAGCGCCGCAAATCTCCATGTTGACCTTCTGCTCCTGTAATTCCTGCGGTCGTGCCTGTGGCCATTGTTGGTAGACGCTGTGTATCGGGACATTTGCGGTGGCTGGCACAGGCGATTGGCGGGGGTCAGACTGCTGGAAGGGACTTCTCAGGGGATGCTGAGAGTTGGGATACTGATATGCTGGGTAGGGTTGTTGCGGTGATGTCAGTGCCGTGGCGCGCATATGAGAGTTTTGATCATAAGAAGGTGTACGGCCGCCGTGCGCGTAGGTTGATGGTTGGGTGACTGGAGGAGGAGCTGGAGGTGTTTGTTGACCATTGTGGTTGACGGCAGTGAAGCCGGACTGGTTGCTGGACTTTTCCTCTGGTGCACCTTGCATCTCATGCTTGACCGAAGCGGCGCTGGTAGGCAAAGTGCGCTCTGCAGAGTCTTCGTCATGCGGCAGTCTCGTATCCGCGAGGTCCTTATCCCTGTCGGGCCATTGTCCGTCGTTGTCGTTAGCGTTAGCAATGTCACCGAACTGCTTATGCGTTCTTTCGAAGAGCTGTGCATAGTCTTTCAACCCACCGCTAGCGACGCCATCGCTGGAGTTGCTCTTTGGAGAATCGTCGATCTGGCCGCTTAGCTCTCGGTACTTCTTCCTCTCACGACGGTAATATCGTTGCCATTCTGCTAGTTGGCTGAGCCACGAGCGGGCCATCTTGAAGCGACTCAGAATGCGTAGTAGGAAGCCGTTTGCGATATCATGGGCTCTAGGGTCTTTACGAGATGAGAGGGCGTCGTCCGGGTCCATGTGAGGAAAGTAGTGGCAGTAGATGGCTGGGGTGGTTAGCAATAACCAACCAAATTACTGTTAGATACGTACTGCCTATTCCAACGGCAAAACAAGAGAAAGCTACCGTTGGCGTTTGTACCAAATTGCTATGAACTTGTGAGTTCTCGATAGTATGAAGTAGTGTTGTGAAGTCGAGGCAGGCTTTCCAACAGTCTTTGGCTTGCTTGATCCAGTAGTCAGGGTCAGGGGGTTTCTCATCAATTAGTGGCTCATCCAACGGGCCGCGGGGATACGTCAACGTCCATGGTGATGTGGGCATGTACTCTCTGTACAACCACACAAAACACAATGTGTACATTGCATGTATCGCGACGTATTTGCCGGGCGAGTTGTAGCTACGGTCGTCGTTGTTGTCCGAGGTCAGCTGAAGGTGATCAGGAAGGTCGCGCTTCAACTGCTTGAGTTTGTCCTCCAATTTCTTGAAGCCAGTCGTTGCGCACCACGGTGGATTCTTGCCTTCTTGTCTACACGTTGTCAGTCAGATATCGCGGCGGAACGAACGAGGCAAACGGACCTTCTGCCGCGTTTACACGACCATTGTGAGACTTCTCCGAAGATCACAACAACTTTGATGTACCATGTTAGTTCTGCCTCCCCCTCAGCAACTTCCCACCTCCCCCCGTCCAGGGCACTGGCTCGATCTGCTCCGTCGTGGTCATTACGGCGTTCCTCAGCATGTTTGTTCCATCGTTTCCTCCGCGCAGTATACATCGCATCGTCTTCACCCAGAAGCCTTGTTCTTGCTCTTTTTCCAAAATTGAATGCGCCATCGCTACAGACAAGTTGGGTTCTTTGAAGTTGATCGGGCGTAAGCATCCTCGGCCGATCCTCCCCCCAACTCAGATAGCAATCCATGAGGACGCAGCTCCAAAAAGTACGCCGCTGAGTCTCGCGAAGTATGAATTGGTCCTTTTCCGAAAGGCCCTTTTCACAGTCTTTCAGTGGTGCAGGTAGTCCGCTTTCATCGACATCCAGGTGCGGGTACCCAAGGCATATGGCAGCTCTGATAGCAATCCCGACCTTCATCCAGCCCTCAGTACCTTGCAAATTGGTCCATTCATAATACCCCAACATGAGGAGTGTTTGGATCTTTTCCACATTCGGGGACCCAATGATATCCGTTCCCATCTGCGTGCGAGTCGCCGATGCGTAGAATTCGGCAACCCTGATCGGGTCATTACCCATTTGCGCTACGAGCTTGTCATGGAAACGAGCAGTCTGGGTAAGGAAGGCTAAGAGCAAAGGCGCATACACGCGCGGCGTTGGAGCTTGAGTCGGAGTCTTAACTTCAGATGAGCTGCCAGATGAAGGCGGCGGCCGCACAGAGCTGAGGAAAGTTCGCTTATGCAAGAAGGGGAAGTCGGTAGAGAAATGCTTCTCATAGATGTCAAACAACTCTTCCCAGACCTGGGAAGTAAGCAATGGTGATTGAAGAGCATCTTCAGGCGAGCCCAAGCCTTCTACCGAGCGTTGCGCTGTAGTCGACGTTGGTGCTAGCAACTTGCGTCGCTTCTTGGGCGGGGCCTAGGGGTGTCAGCGCTAGCACGTGATATAGCCCAGGACGTGAACTCAGCCACGAACGTTGATATGCAATACGACTAAAGGAGTACTGGGAGACAAAAAAGGATGACTTACATCAAAATCGGCCGTGCTATCGCGGCGCACAGATCCTGTGCTGCTTGCGACAGCCGCGTGGTCCCAGGTACAGTCGCGGTTGGTATTCGCGCAAGCCTTGCACGTCGTGCCCTGACCGGTGTTTTCGCACTTGGTCTTGCTTCGGCGACATCTGGTGCATGCAATCTGCGAGCGCATGCCTCGTTTTGCTGAGGGCTCAGCACTGCCGCCGCTGGCATCAAGGGGCCCGGGAGTCTGCTGCGGAGACGCCTTGACGGTGGATGGAGACAGCTGGGTTAGGGGAGACTGCAGTTGCTGATGCTGTCCGGGAGGAGATGGCGGCCGTTGATGTCGTTGTTGTGGTGGGTAAGCAGGCAGTGCAGTTAGCCGCGGTGCATTCTCTCCGGTCATGGGAAGATGCGCGACGGCGCCCAGCTCAGGCGGTGCGCGAATATTGGCGATGAGTGCAGAGAGTTCTGAGAACGGGTGTGGATGAAGAATGGCGGTGCTGCGAGGCTGCGCGCGTCTTGTTGATCGAGTCTTCGGGTGATGTTGCTGCGATGTGCGGGCCGGAGAGATGGGATGGTTGCCGGAAACGCCAGTCACGGGCTGGGGCCGAAGATTACCAGACGACGACGACAAGATGCAATGCAGGTCGGAGTTGTTGCGCAATCGTCGCGTATTCCAGGGCGGCAGGCAGCACAATCTGCGGTCGCTCGGATCGTGTGGTTCCAGCGTTGGGTGCTGGCTGGCGTCTGGCTTAGATGCTGCGGGCACACGGGTATTAACGTTGGACCTTCCCTTCCGACGGGACGAGAGCAACTTGGCGTTGGTCCTTGCAGCGAGTGCTGCCATAGCATACCGTGGTATTTAAGCGATCGCTTCATCCGACAAACTTACCAGTCACTGCGATTTCTCTGCCGGTCTGCCGTCATGAGCTTATGCTTACCCTGACAGCCCACGGCCACACACCCCAGCGGCCCAGCTGTTGGCCGCCGCGCAGTCGCAGCAGCAACCTCCCACTTCACCAGCGGCCCGGTTAGCACCGCATCTCCATCTATCGCTAATCCCGCCTGGTCCGAGTCTCTCAAACGCCTCCCTCTCTGCTTGCCCCAGCACATGAGCTGTCGCACGCAGAACGGGCGCTGACACGTGGGTGGGCCTGCATGCAGTAGTAAGGTGTCGCGGAGCCTTATGGCGCACGTACAAATACGCCCAGTCGATTGCGTTTGGCTGTAAGCCAGGCGCTTCACCGTCACCTTACTCTAGTCCGTCAGAACCATGCCCATCGTCGCCAGCGCATGTCCCGCATGGTTGTATGCAAGGCTCCGAACGGTGCAACACCTTCACATGATGCGAGCCTCTCGTCTATCTTTTGCCCCATCCAGCTAACTACGCATATCGCTACCTATGATATCGCCAGGCCGTGTTGGCCGGTAGACGTAGCCTTGTTGTCTTACTTCCGCGGGTCTGAAAGCGGCATCAATCTCGATGGCTCGGCCTTAGCATTTGCCTCTGCCCGGCAAATCATCTCGATGCGCTCCAACGACTCTGCGTCTCAACGACGTTGTAGATGAAAGGTGCCAGGGGTTCTCGACTACCCATGGATACGCCGCACTCGTACGTCAGGCCAGATGGGACATTTCTCCCCTCGCCACGGTTAGCGAACTATGTCGCGCATGCGCATGCGACCAAGTTCAGCCTGACATTGATGAGTGAGATTTTCTGCAAGTGGCCCAATCTGGCTGCTGCACGATCGGTGTAGACCTTGCATCTTATCTGCCCTCGGGCATATTATGTCGCACCCGTTGCGTCTGTCGAAACTGTGGTACATGGAGTCTAAATCAAGTTTTGATCATTTTGTCGCCTATGGCGGGAGGCGGCCAGGAGGTATTTAATGTACTTTGATTGGTCACGTAAGCTTCAAAAAGCTGCTTGTAGCCTCCAGCCTCCTGTACCTGGTCAACCTCTGAACCCTGGAGCCTATGCGAGGCAACTACAGCCTATCTATCCCCTCCTGGTGTATCCTCCGTACGATGCGCTTGGACCACGTCCAATCGTCGCATTTGCCGTTGAAGGGCGATCTTGACGACGTAGGCCCACGAACTTGGCCATCCGGTCTCGAGTTGCCTGGATAGCGGCGGTGACTTTGGACTGCGGTTTACCAGTCTTGACTTTGATGAGCTCTTGAGAAGGAGCTTCATCGACCTTGACCGCGGGCTTTTTCATCTCGACCACTTTGGCCTCTGTCGAAGATGAGACGATAGGAGACGATGCGACGGTAGCCGACTTCTTGGTGAAAGAAGGCATCGTGAACCCAAAGGACGGGACGGCGATGTGTTTGCTGTATTACTGTTGGAATACCATCCCTGCTAAGACAAAGTGAAAGATACTTACGGCTCGTCCGGAGTCTTCCCTCCACCTTCAGACGACTTTGATGTCGGTTTTGACGACCAGCGGGAGCTGCCGAGGCCAGACATGTTGTTGATCTATCGCGTGTCAGTGATGCGCACCGACTACATTAGCTCTCGATAGTGCGCATACATTGGTACAGTGGTGATGTGTTCGGTAATCGATCCGATACGCGCTTCGTCTTGGTAACTGCGACGTCGTTGTAAGTAGTAAGAAGGGAGAAGAAAAGCAGATTGACAAGATTATATACACCGAGGACCTCCTAGCGTACTCGTCTTCACCTCGAAAGAGCGTGAAAGCGAAGTGAAGGTATCCGCGGTGACGCAGGAATTTTCTGCGATATCAGAGATATTGACGTGGTGACGCAGGATCTTATAATGTCGAGTGTTTGCTATTGATACACATGACACTCTCATGCGCAATTCTCCTATCCTATAGTCCTCTCGGCGTGACAACGCGCACCTACCACTTCTCAACCGCCGGCCTAAGATCAATCTCCCAGGTAAAGTTCGTCTTTGGCTGGGTATGCAACCACCAGTAATCGTTCGCAATCTGCACTTCGCGTTAGCAAAAGACACCACGAAACAAAGGAAAAGATACTCACAGCATCAGCGCTCAACTTGGCCTCCTTAGGCATATCCTTCAACCACTCCTTCGTCCTCGGAATATCAATCACCCCATCAATAATTGCATGCGCAACATGCACCTGTTCATCAAAACACCGCATTAGCAAAGCCATCCACTCCACACCTCATCCACAATCCCAAAGACAGCAAAAACGGAAAAGAAAAGGACGACTCACACCCTGCGGTCCAAACTCCCTCGCCAAACTCTGACTCAACGCCCTCAACGCCCACTTCCCCGTCGAGAAACTCGCCATTTGCGCATTACTCTTCACACTCGCCGTGGCCCCCGTAAAGATAAGACTAGGCGGGTGTTCACTCCCCTTCTCCACGCCCTTAAGCAACAACGGCAAGAAAGTCTGTGAAAACAGCACCTAAAGATGGGGTGTACGAAATCAGTGTTTGTTTCACATGCAATTCATACATCGGCAATTACTTACTCCACCCATACCACTAACACCCAAACTCTTCTCAAAAGTCTCAACCGGAATCTCCAAAAACGGCTTCCGCATAAACGCACCAGAAGCATTGAAAATCGCTGCTGCGGCTGCGACATCATCTCCAAACTCACTCTTTATTTTGGAGAGGGAAGAGGATAGGGATTGGGCGGAGGATACGTCTGTGGCGATACCAATAGCTTTGCCGCCTGCTTTGTTTATTTCCTCGGCGAGAGAAGAGAAGGATTCGGGGGTGCGGGCGAGGAGAACGACGGGGTAGGTTTTGCTGAATTTGCGGGCGACGGAGGCGCCGGTTCCGGGGCCGACGCCGGCGATTATGGCGATGAGTTTGGATTTGGGGGACATGGCTGGGTTTGGCTGGGTTCCGGGGGAGGATAGGTTGAGTTGGTATGGGGATGTTGGCTGGGTGGGTGTGAAGGGGATTGGTTGTCGAGGAAGAAGGGCGTGATATATAACGAAACACGTAACAATGGTCTTATATCTTGATACAGTCCTCGGTACCTTGGTTCTTGTTTAGTAAACCGACTCTCGATTGGAAATGGGAAATGTTGCAAGGCTGATTGCATAACATGCGGAGATAGCTAGAGCGCGAGGTGCGTCATGATTAATAAGCCACCCCCTCTCTCACATGTATGTACACCATGCCACACTCTCCATATTTTCACAGAACCCATCAGTTCATGGTAAACAGCAGTGTGCCTGATTTAACGTAACTTCGTTGATGCATGACTATACTCTTCCCCACATCATGTCACTTGAACCCCTACGCCCTCCCCGCCCTACCCACCTGAATCATCTCCCCAGTAGGTTTATCGTCGCTCCTCAGCACCGGCCAGCTAGCTCCATCCGCCTTGACCAGCGTCATCTCGAGCTTCGTGCCTAGTATCCTGAACTTGCTCTCTTCCGGCTTGATAGTCGAGAAGAGGGGGAATTCGGTTTGGTAGCGCTTGCTGTCTGAGGTGGGGAGATCGAGCTTGACGTGTGTGGGTTGGAAGTCGATGACGGCGGTAGCTTTGTCGATTTTCTTGAGGTAGAGGGATGCGACGACCGAGGTGGCGGTTTGGTAGTAGTCGTGTCTGGGGGGTGGGGTTAGTAGGTCGTCTTGATTGAGAGAGTAGGGAGACATACCGAACTGTCTCTAGTTTCTCCTCGCCCTCCTTCTTCTTGCCGCTGCCGATGAACAAATGTCGGTCTTTTGTCTTGCACCCCTCGATCTTCATGAACTGATCAAACTCCATGACCCGCCTCTTACAGCAACTCCACCCCTTGCTGCCCTCGTGGAAGATGGGCGCACCGGGGTGGTGTATGCAGCTCTCTCCGTCCCTATCGCCTCCCTTGTGTGTCGCGCCGCATCCTTTCCGCCGACATGTCATGCCCTCCTTGATCTCTAGACTCGGGTCGTCATCTTCGGATTCTGGCGGCGGCGCCGGTGACGCGCTTGGCTTGGGCGTGGCTTGTGCGGTGGGTAATCGGGGGGCGGGCGCAGGGAGGGATTCCTCGAGCGATCCGAGGTTGACTTGGGTGTCATTGGGCACGTCGGGGGCTTTGACGGGCTCAGGCTTGGGCGTGTCGTCGACGTCGGAGTGCTTGCCCTTTGTGCACGGCTCGATTGCGAGGAACTCGTCAAAGGTCAAGACGCGTGGTTTGCAGCATTCCCAGCCTGGGGAATCGCATTAGCACCTTTTCTGGTCTTGTCGATATACGCGTTGGTGGTGCTGACCTACCTTTCTGCCCCTCATGGAATTTGGGTGGGCCGGGATGGTAAACACACTCCTCGTTCTCGTCCTCGTACGTCTTGCCGCAGCCCTTGTGAACACACTTCTTCGCCATGATTGTCGATTGCTGTAGATGACGCGCTTAACGAGTGGTATGAAGGTCGAACGCGCGCTGCTCGTTGTGTTGCGATGCCCCAGATTTTGTTCCGAACATTCTGGAAATCAGCCGTCATCATAGGGTCCAAGCGCGAAGCTTAATCGATATCCTGGCCGTTGAAGCTTTCCATCTTCGGGATTCGGGCGCGTCGACAACTCATTTTCCGTCTGTACTGCACGCCCGTAGTCATCGCTAAAGAGAGAGTGTGTGGGTTGTCAACACGTCGCCACCATGTTCCGCGCCACATCCCGCCTGCTCGCTTGCCGCGTCACCTTCTTCACCCGAACCCCATGCGGCCTATGCGACACGGCTAAAGCTGTCGTGCAGAACGTCAACGCGAAGAGGCCTTTTGATTACGACGAGATCAATGTCATGGACGCAGGGCAAGAAAGGTGGAAGAGCGCGTACGAGTTCGACACTCCGGTGGTAAGCCGACCCGGACCACGGGTCTATATATGCGTGTAATGCACAGAGTACCTGAATGTTCAACCAGATCCACATCGACAAAGCCGAAGCTAAGGAGACGACTACTTCGTCCCTGAAGCTTATGCATCGTTTCACGGAAGAAGACGTGGTCAAGGTCATGGATCAAGCTGAGCAATCCTGAAGCCTCATCATCTACCTAAGCCGGACTTCTTCTCCATCTGGAACCGCTCGCTACATTCTCCATCATGTTATGTCGAAGGCGCGTGGTGGAAAAGAGCTTTTACCCGCTTGGTCGCTTGAACGAATAGACCTGTCTTCGGTCTCCCAGGCCCATCTGGTACGCCTTTTGTATCGCTCTTCTCCTCCACCATCGTCGTCGTGGATGGCTCTACCTCCGCATCTGTCGGCTCCTCTTCCTTCTTCTTCAACACCTGCCACTCATCCCCCCTCTCCTCCACAATCACACTCTTAACCCTCCTCCCTCTGCCACCATACCCCTTCTGATTCGACACAACCAAGACCCCCGTCCCCTCATCCCTCCACGCACAACTGTAATGCGTATGTCCAAACGCCCACACCTTCACCACCGGCGACATCCAACACACCTCTCTCGACAAATCAGTCACGAACCCCGAATTCATCGAACTAGCCGCGTGCCCCGGATCCGTTGCGCGGGCGTCAACAGTCGGACAGTGGTGCGTCGCGATGATAACGCTGCGGTGCGGTTCGGTGGTTTGAACATGTTGGACTTGCGCGTTAAGCCACTCCAAATCCCTCGCATGCTCCTCACAACTTCTTTCCGGCGACCAATTCTGTATCCCGCGCTCTTCGTTGTAATCAGTCATCCTGGACCCCACCTCAGCAGCCTGCTCAGGTTGGATGTTGCTCCAGAGCGTACAGCCCAGTATCGTCACTTTCTCGTTAAGATCATACCGATCGCGGCACAACAGACGAAAACGACCGCCGTATTCCCGCCTCGCCAAGTTCTCAAATTCCCGCATTCGTTCGACGGCATGCTCGAAAGTCGTGTGGTACGCTTCGTGGTTGCCAAGGACGTAGAAGATACGACATCCGCGGTTGTTGTCAAGGAGATCGCACAAAAAGACAAAGAGGTTTTCGTGGATGACTAGGCCTATGTCTCCTAATAGGAAGAGTGCGCTGCCGGTGACTTGGAGGTTGATGTTTAAGTACTGTGGGCTGTTCATGGGGGTTTCAAGGTGGAGGTCGGAGACGATTTGGAGTTGGGGCGCGAAGAAAGTCATGTTGGAGTGTTGTGTTGTGTGAACAGTTGTTCGAGCGAGGTATCCTTTTGAGTGGAGGGATGCGCTAGTAATGGGCTTGTAGTTTCCAAGGTTAGTAGTGGGCTCTTGGGGTGACCAATCGATGGTTAGGCGATACAAGACATGAAAGTCAGGCACGACCACGGAAGAGCCACTCTCCCAACATCCCTCGCAAACAAGAAGTCATTTCTGAGCCCCTCTCCTCACGTGCATCAGGCATCACAGCCCCGCTCCAAGGCCTCACCTGCTCCACCGGCTACCGAATACCATCAACCCCATCTCTTCGACCTGCACAATGCGCTCAGTCTGGACACGAAACTGTTGCCGGTCCCAGAGTCACTCGGGGGTCAGTCTGCGAGAGAGTAGGGCGATGGCCTTGCGGCGGATGGTGGGATGGTGGAAGCGGAGGGCTGTGAAGTATGACGCTGGGGCGAGGGATGTGTCGAATGTGAAGTTTGCCGCGGCGTTCACACGCTAGGCTCGTGGGTGTGAGGGCGTTGTGACGGTCATGCCGTTGACGAGGTGGGTAGCATGATGAAGAATCGCTTCAAAGCTGCCGAGATGCGCATCGAATGGTCTTTAACGCGCGGAGTGCACACGCTGTGCCTATCCAGGTACTTGCGCAGACTGGGGGCTCGTTACGAGATACGCATCACGAACGATCGCCGAATGCGCCCGGTGGCCTTTGCCATCATCACATCAATCGTGAACGCCCGCGCACTTCCTAACACCTAGGTCCATACTGGGGTCTGGCTTCCATGCATAAGGATGCACATTGTAGACGGTTCTTTCCTTGCGTCTGGGGGCGTGCAGGCGTATTTCGTACATGCTGTGGACTAGGCCCGGGCGCTCGTTGCGGGGCGCCCAACGGCTGCCGAGATGCGATTCGCGGAGTGCCGTGCCTACATCGGCTTGTTAGGCGGATTGTACCTGAACGCGCCCCACTTGGCTGTCATGCCGAGTTGATCTTGTTCTCTGTTCTCTTCTTTGTCTTCCACGCTCGAGCCTAAAGGGTGTTCTTGCGAGGGCAACCTTGGTTGTGTACATTGGGGATGGGCATATTCGGCAACGGTGGTTTGACCCACTTGGTACGACATACGAGCGGGACGGCAAGATCCGATGGTTATGGGTGATTGCTACAGACGCCGCGGGCGGCGCAGCACGGCGGTGAAAACGGCGAGCTGGAGCTTTTACCAGAATAATATCGGAGATTGCATCACCAAACTTTTGGTGGGTAGGCGTATCTCGGAAAGGATGAAAGAGACTGACGATCTCTAATATATACATAGGTATGTGATACCCGCTCTACTTTTCGTCGCATTAGGCAACCTTCTCTTCATTCGTTTCCTTACTACATTCGTTCAGTCCTTATCAAGGACTTCCACCATATCATGGGTTTCTCTCAACTAGCCCTGTTGGCTTGGCTAACAGTTGCGGAAGCGGCAACAACACCAAGATCCCAGTCACTGCACCCTGTGCGCCGAGCAAACGACAGCCTGCCGGCGATTTTTGGTTCGAACGATACCACCACCCTCAAAGGGACTACTACAGCCCCGGGCGTGATTGTCCTCGACTACGGGGCTAACGTCGAAGGCCATCCCACTTTCGAAGTCCTTTCAGCTACGGGCGACACTTCCGGTCTAGAGATCACGTATAGCGAGACCAGAGCGGTACTGGACACCTTCTACACCGTAAGTCTCCCGCCGCAATTGCTTGAAACCCATACTGATTCATCTTGCAGAGCGATGGTCCAATCGCTTTGGCCGCAGCTATGGACACGTACAGAGTCAATCAGTACAATGTCACTGGGCCCATGATACATACCAATCGACTCATTCAGGGTGGTTTCAGGTACCAGAAGCTCAACCTCTCGACAACAGGCGAACTGGTATTGAGGAACGTCGGTGTGAGACCTACAATCCTGAACACACCCCTTGATCAACTACCGGGATACTTTGAGACCTCGGACGAGGACCTCAATCAAATCTGGAAGGTTGGCGCGCGGACAGTTCAATTAAACGACATCCCTGCGCACTCCATTCCGGCGTTCTGGCAGGTCTCCTCCGAAGGTTCTCTGGTAGAAAGCCAGGCACCTCAAGTTCTGTCAGGCGGCGGCGCGGCTGCGTTGATGAGTTACAAGCTTGCATTCGAAGTCAAGCCAATTGTCAAAGGACTTGGATTCTCGGTACTGGCTGACACTCTCAACTCCGGAATCTATGTTTTCTGCAATATCGGTAATGGATCGATCTCAGCACACTTCGGATCCACTGAGGATTCTCCTCCACTTGCATTCGCAAGATTGCCAGCAAACATAACCCTTGGTAACTGGCAGAAAGTGGAAGCCACTGTGAATACGACTAGCATCGCGGTATCCTTCAACAAGGTTCCAGTTCTTGAGTTTTCGCAGACTTCTGCATTTTTCGGATCTTTCGGATTGGGCGCGTCATTCGGCCACTCTGCCGTTTTCCGCAACCTGTCTGTTACGACTCCGACAGGTCAATCAATCTATTCAACCTCTTTGACAGATGAGGCTTTCCTGTCGGACTTCCTGATGGGCACAAACCCGCACGACACAACTGTTGACGGCTCGAAACGTGACCGCATTGCGTATGCAGGCGATCTGGACATTGCGCTCGTGTCCTCGCTGTCGAGCACCAACGGCATCAGCTACATCAAAGGCACGCTCGATCTTCTTGGTTCCTTTCAACTGACCCCAGGATTCTTCGCACCCACGGCAAAGATCCAACAAGAGCCACTTTCCGCTCCGGTCGATGCCAACGTCACTGGTCTGATTGGCTACTCTTTCAACCTCCTCACCGCAGCTGCCAACTTCTACATGCGCACCGGCGATGTCGATATGCCGAAGAAATGGGCACCCAAAGCCGTACGCATGTTGGACTGGGCACACTCTCAAGTCCTGCCCGAAAGCGGGTTGTTGAACATCACCAATCCTGCCTTGGGCGGCGACTGGAACTATTACGATCCGTCACAAGCGGGTGTCGTTACCAAGTTCAACATGGTCTACGCATACGCACTCCAGGAGTGCATCAGGCTCCTTGCAGACGGTGGCATCGACACCAAGCCATACACTACCCGCCTCGATGCTCTGCGCATCGCGATTGACCAGAATCTCTGGTCGAATGAACTCAACGCCTACTACCTCTCCCAGTCCATCAACAATAGCTTTGCACAGGACTCGAACGCTCTGGCCATTCTCGCTGGTGTGACCAAGTTCAACCACACTTCCTCCCGCGTTCTGAGCACCCTCAAGCAGCTTTCAACACCAAAAGGCCCTCTTGCTTTCTCGAACGGAACTATCGGAGCCGGGTTCTCAAAGTACATCAGTCCCTATGCAAGCGCCTATCACCTTCGTGCCGCATTCGAGGCCGACGACAGCGAGACGACCATGAATCTGCTTAAGAGCCTGTGGGCGCCCATGGCCGACCCGCAGGGAGCAAACTACACGGGATGCTTCTGGGAGACCTTGGACGCAGCCGGTGCGCCTGCGCTGGGGAGGGGCACTAGCCTCTGCCACGGTTGGGCTGCAGGTCCCACTGGGGAGCTCAGCGATCATGTTTTGGGAGTCAAGCCCGTAGCTCCAGGGTACACCGAATGGCGAGTCGCTCCTGTTACGCTGGACCTCAAGTGGGCTAGGGGCAGAGTCCCCGTGCCGGGAGGTGTGATCTCCGTTGCTTGGAATGCTACGGGGCGTGTTGTAACTAGGTTGGAAGTGATGAGTCCCAACTGCACTTCGGGCACGGTTGTCTTACCTCTGTCATCGCAGGACGGATATGTTGGAGGTGCTTTCAGGGTCAATGGGGAGGTTGTGGCGAGGAACGCGACATTCAAAGTTACAGGGGGAAAGCCTTTTGTCCTTACATACGATGTCTAGCCTCCGCAG